CCTTTAAGCCATGAGTGGCATTAAATTGTATTCGATAGTATTGTTAGAATGGTTCTTTGCATTGAATTATTTTTTAAAATAATTTAAATTTAATTGTAATAATTAAAAAATTATTTTTTGGAATAATAATATATTCATATGGTAAAACATAAAAAGTATGAAAAGGCTTACAGTGAAAGAAAATGTCCTTCCTTCATTGGTCATTCATGTTCTCAGTCCCTAGGCCTCAATAGCCAATTAATCACTGCTTTTAGTCTTTTATTTGCCCTTCCAGATATTTTGATAATAAATATAAATAACAATACAAAATATATTGTTTTCCTTCATTTGTGATATAAATGTTAGCATGCTATACACATCATTCTGTACCATGCTTTTTTCGCTTAATATATCTTGAAAGCTTTCCATATCAATATATAAAGTGCTTTCTTATTTATTTTACAGTTAAAAAACACTCCATTGAATTTATTTAACTAGTCCCCTAACGAGGAATATGCAGATTCTATCCAATCTTTCACTGTTGACTGCAATGTTGCAATAAATAAATGGTATACATGCCAATTTGTAGATATGCAAATGTATCTGTGGGGTAAATTCCCCAAAGTGTAGTTGCCGCATCTATGAGCACATACGTTTGTAATTTTGATAGCGATTGATTGCTAAGTTAATCTCCATATGGGTTGTATAAATTTATACTCCCACCAGCAAGGTATGACAGTGCCTGTTTCCCACAGCCTTGGCAACAGAGTATGCTATCAAATTTTGAATTGTTGCCAATTTTATGGTGAAGAATGGTATCGTATGGTACTTTTAATTTGCATGCTTCTTATTATGAGTGAAATAGAGCATTTAAAAATATATTTAAGAATAATTTGCATGTACTTTGAATTGTCTGTTTATAACGTTTGCCCATTTTTCTAATGGGTTATTGGCCTTTTTCTTATCCATTTCTGGAGCTTTCCATATATTACAAAGATTATTCTGTGTGTATGATTTGTCATAATTATGTTTCCCAATTTGTCATTTGTCTTTTTAAAATTTGTTATTATTATGGTATGGTTTACTTTTGTAATGCAGAGGTTTAAAAAAATTTATACAGTTAAATTTATCAATCTGCAGTTATAGTGGGCAATTTTAACATGTCTCTCTCAGTAACTGATAGAGCAAGCACACAATTTAGTAAGCAGCATGATTGACAAACTTGACTTAATTGTCATGAGTAGAACCTGGCCTCACAACTGCAGAATGCACATTCTTTTCAAGCATGCATGAAACATTTGCCAAAATTGATTATATGGTGGGCAATAAATCAAGTCTCAATAAACTTCAAAGGACTGAAGTAATATAAAGTATGTTCTCTGACTACAGTGAAAGTTAGCTAGAAACCAATAACAAAAAGGTGACTAGAAAATTCCTAAATAGAGATTAAGCAATACACTTCTAAATAACCCAAGGGTTAAAGAAGACATTAGCAATGGAAATAAGAAATGATTTTTACTTGAATGATAATTAAAGTATGACATATTGAAACATGTGATGCGACTAACATCATGAGTGGGGAGAAATTTATAGCATTAAATGTAAATATATATTTGGAAAGACAAAAGGTTGAATATCAATCATTTCAGTCCATCTTAATAAGTAGGAAAATAATAGCAAATTAAACCCAAGGAATGCAGAAGGAAGGATATACAAAAGTTCACAGAAGCGAAAGACATAGAAAATAATGTCTGAGAGAAGTTCAACAAATCCAAAAATTAGTTCCTTAAAAGATTAATAAAATTGATAAAACCTTGGCAAGACTAATCACAAAGAGAGAAGGCACAATGTTGCAATATCAGGAATAGAAAAGAGGACAAAACAAATATTACAGATATGTAAAAGATAATAAAAAGGTATAATGAACTATTTTATGCCAATAAATTTGACAACTTGGTTGAAAATGATACATTTCTAGAAAAAACTCACTTACCAAAAATGACAAAGAAGAAATAAAAAACCTGAATAGTTCTATAGCTATAAAAGAAATCGAATCCATAAAAAATTTCTCATATAGAAAACTTCACGCCCAGATGGCTGGAAAAAAAATTAACCCCACTCTTACACAAACTTTTCTAGAGAATAGAAAGAAGAAAAACTTTCCAACTCATTTCATCACACCCAAATCTGACAAATTCTTTACAAAAAATATAATTTTTCAATTACAGATCAATCTCTCTTATAAAAATAAATGCAAATAGCCTAGGATTAAAAATTCTAATGTTAAAAATTAAATCTGGTGGTATATTAACATAAAAAGGATGATATATCATGATGATACTCTCTTAATGCTATGTTGATTTTGCATTTGACAATCAATCAGTGTAATTCATGCTATTAACAAAATAATGGAGAAAAGTTGTACAATTATTTTACAGCCATAAAAAAATAATCTGATATAATTTAATGTCCATTAATAATAATAAACTTCTTAGAATACTACAAAAGGAAGAGAATATATTTAATCAGACAAAGGGTATGTATGAGAACTTACAGAAAACATCACACTTAATGGTGAATATTTTCCTTCCAGAACTGGAAATGAGACAAGTGTGCTACTATTACCACTTCTATCCAACATGGTACACAAAGATAAACAGAACACAAAATGCACTAACTATAAAACAAAGATCAATAAATTAGACAATCAAATAAAAACAATGGAACCAAGACCTGAAAAGAAGCTTCACAAGTGAGGATATTCAATATCCACTAACCATATGAAGAGCCGCTCAAGTCATTTCAGTGGTCAGGGATGTTTAAACTACAATCACAATAAAATACCCCTTCACATTTGTCAGAAAGACTGACATTAATAAGGCTGATAATACCAAGTATGGTTGAGGATATAGAACCACTGGAACTCTCATACACCCTTGGTGGGAATGCAAATTGATACTCTTACTTTGGAAAACTTTGGCAATTTCTAATAAATTTAAATATACATATGCCCTAGGATCTAGCAACTCACTTCTAGATATATACCCAGCAGAAATGCATATGTATGTATACCAAAAGACAGGCAAGAGGATATTCATTGCTGCATTGTTTGTATTAAATAATAGCTCAAAGCTGGAAACAACCCAAATGTCTTTCAACAGAAGATAAGATGTATGTATGTACCATGATAGATGCATGCAATTGAATACAGGCGTAAAAGATGAATTAACTACAACTCTATGCTTCCACATGGATAATCTCACAAACATACATGTTGTACAATTCCATTTAAATAAAGTTTAAAACTAGGCAAATCTAAATTATGGTGTTAGAATAAATATTTGTTGTCTCTCATGTGTGAGGTGTGATGGCTACAAAACTGAATAAACTATGGTTTAAGAAATTAGAATAGTGTTTACCTTTGGGGAGAAGAAGAGGGCTCTAGAGAGATTTCTGAGTTGTTGACAGTGTTCTGTTTCTTGATTTCAATTGTGGCTGCTGGGATGTCTTTACTTGACATAATTTATTGAGCTTATGAATTGTGTATGATTCTGCAAGTAGATCAAGCAGCAATCATTTGTGAAGCACCTAACATGTGTGTGTATGACTGTGTTGGGCTCTGTGGTCTCCCTTCTTTTCACCCCCTGTTAACATCACTCATGCTGGAGGGAGCTCATTGCTACTAATTGGCTCAAGGGACAGCACTGTAAATATGTGCAGCCTCATATGTAATATGAGGCTCTGCAAGTCCACTCCAAGTGTGGAAAGTAGAGCCCAGTTGGGCTAAGGCAGATGTTCTTTTACTTTGATTGGCAGAGTCCTTTCTAGTACTTCCCAGGTCATGACAGCTTTTCTCTGCCACATTTAAGTTTCCAAAGAGAATTGCACTGCTAATGGCCAGGAAGCCCCTGCTCCAAAGCTTGAGTGACTCTCCTTGGTTCAGGTGTGTGACTGCCATCTGGAAGCAGCAGTTGGTAGGGAACTAGAGGAAGAACTTGCTGAGACCTCAGCTTGCTTGAGGGGTAGGAGGCTGGACCGAGCCTGAATTTGTGGAGAACTGTGCTCTGACTACACACTAACTACATTACTTATTTCCTCAGCCATAAACCTGTAAGAATGATAATACACCTGTTCATATTTGAGGAGGACCTATTTGCATAATTAAATTGTTTATGACATCAGTGTGTGTGCGACAGCCTTGCCCATATCCAGATGGATATTTCCATTATAAAGTTAAAGAAATAAAAACATTCTGACTTGCAGAGGTGGCAAAATTGTGAGCAAATTTTCCTTTTCTTTTAATGCTATTAAAATGTTTTTGTTTATGTAATCTGTAGTAACAACAAACACAAACCGAAGCATTTATCCCCCAAAAAGAAAAGAGCGATTTTCATTTCGTGTAGACAAAAGGAAAGAAACCACTAAACCAGCGTTTTACACACATTACATGTAGACATTTCTTAACTAATTTGGAAATTCAACCAGACAATGTGGTTCAATTTGAAGGTGACATTTGTGTACTTTCATGTGTCAGTAACAGAAAAATAACCTTTCATTTATAAAAGTGAAACTGAATTTAGATCAAGTTTCAGAACTCATCGTTTTGACAGTCTTCGATGGGAAAAGCTGGCATTTACTGCTGAAAATATTTCTTCAAGTTTGTTTAACACATGTCTTCAGCTACTGGGAAGATTTGTGTTGTTGTTATATCAAAGGTGGCTTCTGAGTTGAGGGATGAATGTTCTAATCACAGTCTGGTTTAAACCTGGTCGCTACACATACCGGAATGAATTTGGTTAGTTTCTTTGTGAAGGAGTATACTTACATCAAAGAACTTCGACACCTTTATTTATTTCTAGGAAACTAATGGTCATCGAGCTTTACTATGGGCACTGTGTATAGAGCCTACATGCTGGGGGCTGCCAGCTACGCGAGTAGCGGCTTGGAATTGGGAACTCATTTGCTTACAAAAATAGCACCATACACAGTGGTAGGTTCCCAGGATAGTCCAAAGAAGGAAATGTAACTCAGTATGTAGCCGAGATCTGCACTGCGCCAAATCCTAGGCTGATCCTTGCAACTGGGAGCAGCAAGCCCTTAGTGGAGGTGAGCGGGGTAAGTAGGGGGAGGAAGGCAGAGAGGAGGCAGAGATGAGAAAGGAGGAGAGATTAAGGAGAAGGTGGAGGAGGGAGAGGATGGGGGGAAGAGAAGGTCAAGGAGGAAAAAGGAGAAGTGGGAGGAGGAAGATAGCAAGGAGGCGAAGGAGGAAAAACGTGTTCCTGCTGCAGGACGGCGCTCAGAGACATTTCCCTGCCAGCCTCTCCCATTTCTGCCCCTTCCACTTCCTGATGCCCTGTCACCGCTCTCTGGGCTCCCAGGTGCTCCCAGGTTGCTCTGAGCTCCCTCCGACCAGGTGCTACATCCAGACTTGCTCACCCCCTGGAGGTATCTTATGCCCATAAATGATCATCTTCCTTTCGTTTATGAAAGGTCTTGAATTCACTGTTGATCTCAGTGAGGTATTAGGAGCAAAACTATCTGATCAAACAATCTCTAAGATATGAAGGACTAATAATATTATATTATTTGGATGTTTGAATTTTTTAAAAAAGAAGCAATGACTCTCTAATTGGCAAAAGTATGAGTACCATGAAAAATAAAAAAGGTGAAGTGAACATTCTGACCTTTTGAAACTAGCGGTTAAGATTTTTGGTCATGGCAAAACCTTGTAGACAAACCAGTGTTGCCTGTCTTGAATCTGTCATAAGGTTTGCTCAGAATATACTATGGTCAGCTCCTATAACCTGTCCTTGCCCTTCAGTTTCTTCTCTTCTCTTCATCTCTGAACACACAGACTCTCTAAAAGCTTTGTGGCAGAAGTGGGCACCAGCAAGCACTTGTATTCCTAAGTCAGCTGTTGGTGACTCGGTAATGACCTGTATATGTGCTCTATATTAATGGCTCTAATTTACAGATGTGGACATCAAGGCATGGCATAGTCTGAATGTTTATGTCTCCCCAAAATTCACACGTTCAAATCTAATCCCCATTGTGGTGGTATTAAGAGGTGGGGCTTTGGGGAGGTGATTAGGTCAAGAGGACTCTACCCTCATGAATGGAATTAGTGCTCTTATTAAAAAAAAAAAAAAGGCATGAGGGAGCTGGTTTGCCTCTTCCACCATGTGAAGCCACAGCCAGACGGTGCCATCTATGATGAATGGGCTTACCAGACATCAACTCTGCTGGCATCTTGGACTTCCCAGTCTCCAGAATTGTGAGCAATAAATTTCTATTTTTTATAAATAACCCAGTGTAAGGTATTTTTGTGAATAGCAACCTGAGTGGATTAAGACAAGGCACTTGGGGACTAAAACCATATGCTTTTTAGCACAAAGAATACATGCACGGTGTGGGATTTTTATAGTATTTTAGGCCTGCATTGTTCAATATGGCAGCAGCCACTCACCACATGAGGCTATCGAGAACTCGAAGTGGGGCTAATATGACTGAGGAAATGAACTATTAATTTTATTTAATTTTACTTAATTTAAATTTAAAAACTGATATGCAATTTAGTTATTGGGAAACTTTTAAGTATGTTTGGAATAACATAGGTACGTGAATCAACTTTTTAAACTTTAGGTTTTATGAAATCTAAATACAGATCAAGTATTTCTAGTGAAAATTTAGTGTGTGAAGGCTGGGCTCCCTTTGCTCCAGTTGCAGACACCTCTGCAAGGCCATCGCAGTGTCAGGCTTCCCGTTAAGGTCCCTAAAGCCTTTACTGATTTTGTACCACAGTCCATATTCTCCTTTGGCCCAATCCTGCATCTTCCTCTTCCCTTCCAAAAGTGTTCATTCTAAGAGTTTTCCCTAGTAAGGCTTCTGTCTACTAATATTCATCTCAAAATACGCTTCTTGGAAAACCCAATGTGCTATAATGTACTTATTTTTAAATAATCTAATAAATGCCTGGAACCTCTAGGACCTCAAACATCTGGGGTATCAAAGATACACCTATTCAAGATACCAAGTTCAGCCAGTCAGCAGCCTCATGGGTGCTCACTGTATGAATGAACCTTAACTGAGAGCTGTGAGTAGCCGAGAAGGAAAGAGTCATCAAGGCATGGCTAGACCAGATGAACACTAAGGTCTCTCTCTAAGTCTCTGCAAATATATTTGTATCTATAAAAGTGCATCTTGTTCCCAATGCTTGGGGACTAGACCTGAAACTGAAAAATGGTAGAAATCTTTTTCTGGGTGTTGTGGCTGCAGGAGGGGATAAAGATGTTTAGTGAGTATTGAAAATTGAACATAAATCAAACTGGGCTCAATGCTCTGGCATCAGATAGAAATAGACTGATGTAGAAGCTTCATTTGGGGTCACCCTGAAGGATCTCAGGGACAATAAATCCTCACAGTGGGCAGTTTTGAATGGCATCTCTCACCATGCATTTGCATGGAAAAAGAAGGTCCTGGGGGAGGAGTGTACACTGCTTTATGGGCAGTAGAAAGTAGTCTGGCCCATGATTAGAGGTCTGAAAGGAGCAAAACTGGAGGACAGGAGAGCAGGAGGTTTGGAGAAGAGCTATATGAATTGCTTCTCAGAATGAGTAAAGTGTGAGAATATTTGTGTTCCATGAGGCTGCTCACCAAAGACTCCTTGCTACAAAGAAAGATCTTGATAATCAGATAAGCAGAAGCATGTTTCAGTCATGAAGGCTGCCATGTCTCAGTGTCCAATTTTACAACACAATCCTGAAACTACATATGGTGCCCAGAGAGGGTCAACCAGGAACCATGTGACAGGTTGGTTGTTTTGAATTCTTTTTCATTTCTTTTGTTTTTTTAAATTTATCTTTTTTTGTCCTACTTCATCCTGACTTCAGGGTAACCAAATAGTTGACCAGGGCAAGTTATTCTTTATTTTTTAAAAATGTTTTATTTTTAATTATTATGAGTACATAATAGTTGTATATATTTATAGGATACATGTGATGTTTTGATAGAAGCATGCAATGTGTCTTAATAAAATCAGGGTAATTGGGGCATCTATTCCCTCAAGCATTTATCATTTCTTTGTATTAGGAACATTCCAATTCCACTCTTTTAGTTATTTTAATGTATACCCTAACTTATTGTTGACTCAAGTCATTTTTTATGCTATCAAATATTGTTCATTCTATCTAATTATTTAACTGTATTTTTGTACTGATTAGCCATTCCCACTTTATCTCTCCTCCCTGCTACCCTTCCCAGCCTCTGGTAACCATCATGCTACTCTCTGTCTCTATGAGATCAATTGTTTTAATGTTTAGCTCCTACATGTGAGAGACGATATGCAAGAATTGTCTTTCTGGGCTTGGCTTATTTCATTTAACATAATGTTCTCTAGTTCCATCCATGTTGTTGCAAATGACAGGATTTCATTCTTTTTTTAGGGTCCATTGTGTATATGTACCACATTTTCTTTATTCATCTGTTGATGGATACTTAGGTTGATTCCAAATCCTCTCTATTGTGAATACTGCTGTAATAAACATGAGAGAGTAGCTATATTTTTGATATACTGGTTTCCTTTCTTTGGGCATATACCTAGCAGTGGGATTGCTGGGTCATATAGTATAATAGCTCTATTTTTAGTTTTTGAGGAACCTCCATACTGTTATCCATAGGGGTTGCACTAATTTACATTCTCACCAACAATGCACACATCCTCCCCAGCATTCATTATTGCTTATCTTTTTGATAAAAGGCATTTAAACTGGGGTGAGGTGATGTCTCATTGTAGTTTTGATTTGTATTTCTCTGATGACTAATGATGTTGAGCATTTTTTCATATACCTGTTGGCTATTTGTATGTCTTCTTTTGAGAAATATCTACTCAGATCTTTTGCCCATTTTAAATTATATTATTTGATTTTTTCCTATTGAGTTGTTTGAGCTCCGTGTCTATTTTAGCTATTAATCCCTTGTCAGATGAGTAATTTGTAAATACTTTCTCTCATTCTGAGGGGTGTCACTTCACTTTGTTGATTGTTTCCTTTGCTGTGCAGAAGCTTTTTAAGCTTGATTTGATCCTTTTTGTCCAGTTTTCTTTGGCTGCCTGTACTTTGGGTTATTACGCAAGAAATCTTTGCCCAGACCTATGTACTAAAGCATTTCCTCAATGTTTTCTTTTAGTAGTTTCATAATTTCAAGTTTTAGCTTTTTCTGTACTCCATTTTGATTTGATTTTTGTGTATGGCATGAGATAAGGGTCTAGTTTAATTTCTCTCTCTCTCTCTCTCTCTCTCTCTCTCTCTATATATATATATATATATATATATATATAAAATTTCTCCAGCACCATTTATAGAAGAGACTGTTCTTTCCCTAATGTATTAATATGTTCTTGGCAACTTTGTCAAAAATAAATTTACTATAGATGTATGGATTTATTTCTGATTTCTCTATTCTGTTCTATTGGCTTATGTGTCTGTTTTTATGCCAGTACCATGCTGCTTTGGTTACTGCAGCTCTGTAGTACAATCCAAAGTCAGGTAATGTGATGCCTTCAGTCTTGTTCTTTTTGATCAGGATGGCTTTTGATATTCTGGGTCTTTTGAGGTTCCATACAAATTTTAGGATTTTTTAAAATTTCTGCGAAGAATATCATTGGTATTTTGATGGAGATTACATTGAATCTGTAGGTTGCTTTGGGTAGTATGGATATTTTAACAATATTGATTCTTTCAATCCATGAACATGAAATATCTTTCCATTTTTTGATGTCCTCTTCAATTTCTCACCAATGTTTTATAGTTCTCATTGTAGAGAACTTTCACTTCTTTGGTTTAGTTTATTCCTAGGTATTTTATTTTATCTGTAGCTATTGAAAATGAGATTACTTTCATTTTATTTTCCAGATTATGTGCTGTTGGCATATAGAAATGCTACTTATTTTTATATGTTGTTTTTGTATCCTCCAATTTTATGAATTTTTCCAGTTCTAATAGATTTTTTGTGGAGTCTTAAGGTTTCCCTAAATATAAGATCATATTCCCTGTAAGCAAGGATAATTTGACTTCTTTCTTTCCAATATGGATACCCTTTATTTCTTTCTCTTCTTTGATTGCTCTAGCTAGAACTTCCAGTACTATGTTGAATGATAATGGTGCAAGTAGGCATCTTTGTCTTGTTCCAGACCTTAGAGGAAAGGCTTTCAGTTTTTCCCCGTTCAGTATGATACTAGCTTGTGGGTTTGTCATATATGATTTTTGTTGTTGTATATTCCTTCTAAACCCAGTTTTTCAAGAGGGTTTTTTTTTTTTATCATGAAGGGATGTTGAATTTATCAAATGCTTTTCAGCATCAATTGAAATGATCACACTTTTTGTTCTTTGCTCTGTTTATATAATGTATCATATTGGTGGATTTGTGTATATTGAACCAAGCTTGCATCCTTGGGATGAATCTCACTTGATCATGATGAATAATCTTTTTAATGTGTTGTTGAATTTAGTTTCCTGGTACTTTGTTGAGGATTTTTTGCATCTATATTAATCAGAAATATTGGCCTATAGTTTTCTTTTTTGTTGTTCCCATGTCTTTGTCTGGTTTTGGTATCAGGCCTTGTAGAATGAGTTTGGGAGTATTCCCTCCTCAATTTCTTGGAATAGTTTAAGTAGGATTGGTATTAGTTTTTTGGATGTTTGGTAGAATTTAGCAGGGAAGCCATTGTGTCCTGGGCTTTTCTTTGATGGTTGACTTTTTATTACTGCTTCTATCTTGAAAATTGTTATTCATTTATTCTGGTTTTGTATTTCTTCCTGGTTCAATATTGGTAGCTTGTATGTGTCTAGGATTTTATCCATTTTTTGTAGGTTTTCCAATTTATTGGCATATAATTGCCCATAGTAGTAGCTAATGATCCTTTGC